GCCCACGCTGCCAGACTTGCAAATCCCTGCCTAGTGTGGAAGAGCACAACTAAGGCGAGAGAAAAGGGAGCCAGGAATGGTTAAAGTAGTCGGGGGCCGCCCGAAGGCCAACTTCTGGAGGAGTGAGCCTTGACCCCCGAAGGAGAGGGGAGATCAGAGGGCTCAAGGCTATGGAATAGCATCCTGATCCACCACTTAGCATAAGCTTCTCTGGTCGGAGGCCTCAGCCTCAGCGCACCGCGGAGGAAACATGTAAGAAGAGGGTGTCTTCCTACTGAATGGCCACCGAGAGGGGCGTGGGGCGGTAACTGAGAGAAGCGCTCGCCCTCAGAAGTCCTATAGGCCTTAGGCGTCAGGATGTTTTAGACAGACTATCCAGCGAGAATGACGGTCCGCAGAACCGCCTTCCGCTATAAGCCTTCGGCCTGGGAGTGCCACTGTGACTCCAGACTCTGCTGAGTACGAGAAGTGACGCCCCCAGAATGAGGAGCTAGAACACGGTAGTTTGGGACTGCTCCCGCCCAGCAGCCCCTGCTGACCGCCTCAACCTCCTCAGAGGAAGAGAGGAAAACACGTGCTCTTACTCGAGAAAGTTTTATCCCAAGAGCCCCTGTATATCTAACTTCTCATAGTGCGATAAATACTTCATTTTATTCCTCAGAATCAAATGCAAACAAACAACCAGACAAGTAAACACGGTCTGGTGTGATAAGATTAATTTCAAAAAAACAAAAATGATATATCTAACTTCCCATAGTCAGATAAATACTTAATTTAATTCCACAGAATCAAATGCAGCCAAACAACCAGACGAGTAAACACGGTCTGGTGTGATAAGATTCATTTAAAAAAAACGAAAATGATATATCTCTAACTTCTCATAGTCAGATAAATACTTAATTTAATTCCTCAGAATTAAATGCAGCCAATCAACTAGACGAGAAAACACGGTCTGGTGTGATAAAATTAATTTCAAAAATCGAAAATGATATATCTAACTTCTCATGGTCAGATAAATACTTAATTTAATTCCTCAGAATCAAATGCAGCCAAACAAACAGACGAGTAACACGGTCTGGTGTGTTAAGATTCACATCAAAAACTGAAAATGATGTAATACACGCGTTGCCTCGGCAGCGCGCAAGCCACTTAGTCACACCAACAATATCAATCTCCTCTGAGAAAAATAGCCGCAGCAGCGAGCTCTCGCTCAGAGGGGGAAGAAACCGCAGCGCGGGCTTCCGAGCCTCGCGAGAGAGAGAGCGCTGGATCTAGGGAGTGCAGGCGGAGAAAGGGCGAGCCGTCTCCAACCCATCCGCTAGATCCATGTGCGATCTCCACGATCTGAATCGCCGCCATGCCTCAGCAATAGCGGGACCGAACCGCGAGCTCGCAAGCACGGACACACTGCCTGGCGGGAGCAGAGCGTTCAGCAGGGAGAAGCACAATCAGCCCCTTATTTCCGAGAGCTGACTGCGCGAGTCTATTCTTTTTATAATAGTATTGACATAATGCTTGTGCGACTGTAAAACAGCTCTGCTCCACAGTAAAGCTGCTCATAATATTAGGCATAATATGCTTGTGTAAATAGTGTTTGTGCAACTGGCGATCTCATCGACGCCCTCATCAACTTCCTCGGAGGAGGAAAGGTGGATCGTCGAGCCCTCTTACCGGGGGGAAAGAACCGCAGCGCGGGCTTCCGAACCCCAAGAGCGGGCGCTGGATCTGGTGGTTAAGGAAAAAGATAGGGACTCACCCGTCTACATTCCCTCCACTGGATCCATATGCGAAACCCACGAGCACAGCGGCCACTCCGCCTCGTCGAAAGCGGGGCTGGCACCGCGAGAAACGCCAGTGAAGACTCCGTCCTCAAAGAGAGCCCTCGGAGAGCAAGCATACGCAGTGACAAACGCTCTCAATGCGGGCAGTCAGCTGACTCTGCGTGTTTTGCTCCCACTTTTAGCAGACAACACACAAACTGTGTGTATCCCCACCCGAAATGTAGCATGGGCAGTGAAGAACACACAGCCTAATATACCGCCAGCTCTCGCCGTATGTTTGTCTACACTCGTATTGGTAACACAAAGAATGATAATGGACAGACAACACCAAATAAGACTGACACACAAAGAGCGCTTGCTGAATGACAGAAAGCTGACAGAAAGCACGTGATTTTATACTTCCTGGTCGCTACGTCACCCCGCCCGTGACGTCTTGCCCATCCATTGGACTGATTACACTTATGATTCAGAGCGTGGTCACGCTGGAGGCGTTCCCGTAGCGTTTTGACGCAGCTCGAATTCCTGAAGGGGAACTGTCATTTTGACCATCCTCTAAAAAATTGTGGATTACTCAGTAAATATACATCCATTACATTTCATATTTTGGCTTTCATTGCTATACATGTTGATCTTTCTTCAGAAGAAATATAAACAAAATAAAAAATTTGAGCCAGGGACCTTTGGTTGAGTTGACACGTGATTAACCCAATTGCAATGACTTGTAAACCCCTCTTTCTACTTCAGCCTGTGTCTTCCAACCACCTGCCTCAATTCCAGTAGGTCGAAACTAAATCATTCTCATTAAATCAACTCCTCTGTAATGTTGCATTATTGTTGGAATTTAAGTATTTAAAAAATACTAAATAGGTATGCACATCCAAAACCCACAGCTATATATATATTTTTTTTTTTCATCTAGTCTTGCCAATGAAACATCAAAAAAATCTCATGTCATTTGATTATGACAGTTAATTGTATTATCTGCCTCAACTGTGGTATGGAACAGCAACATTTAAAAATCCAGACAATTCTAAAGTCCCACCTTACTTTTTTGAAGTTCAATATTCATTTTTACTCAAAAATAAGTCTTGTTAAAGAAGTAAACATTGAACAGCATTTCATGTCCATGAGGCCACTGTTAAAGGAAGTTGGGAAGTCGTGGCCTAATGGTTAGATGACTTGTAACCCAAAGGTTGTGGGTTCGAATCTCTTACCGGCAGGGATTGTAGGTGGGAGGAGTGAATGTGTAGCGCTCTCTCCCACCTTCAATACCATGACTGAGGTGCCCTTGAGCAAGGCACCGAACCCCCAACTGCTCCCCGGGCGCCGCAGCTGCCCACTGCTCCGGGTGTGTGTTCACGGTGTGTGTGTGCACTTTGGATGGGATAAATGCTGAGCACTAATTCTGAGTATGAGTCACCATACTTGGCCACATGTCCTTTCACTTTAAGATCTCTCCAATCTTGGTCCAATCAATTGCAATGGATAAAATCAATGGTTTTACTGTCCCTTTAAGGAACTTTTTAGGCAGCTTTATTCCTGCAGTACCTGGCAAAGTGTGGGATTATTAATTCTCTCTTTTTAACCTTTATTCTCTCTGTTCTCTTTCCTCTGTGTCTCTCAGGCGGTGGATGCCGATCTCGTCTCTAACGTGACCTACAGAATAAAAACAGAAGCTGCTCGGCAGCTCTTCACCGTGAACCGTCTGACCGGCGCCGTATCAGTCCTGCAGGCGCTAGACTTTGAGGACTTGGCAGCAGGCAACAGCACCTACACATTTGAAGTGGAGGCGTTAGATCACGGAGGAGTCCTCCTTCCTGGCACAGCCACAGTCATCGTTAGAATCACGGTAAGGCTGCTAAGAGAGTGTGAAGCGCTCATCAGCTTTAAAAATACTCTGTTTTATCACACCAGTCTCAATGGTAACACGAGAAACTCTCTTCCTGAAAGTTCACCAGGTTCCAGTCGGAAATGGTTTTAACTTGGGGGAAGGAAGCAAATTTTCATCAGGTCTAGTGCCGGTGATTGGATTAGATCTTTCAAAGCTTGTCCATAGTGTCTACGTGCTAACGCTTCTCGCAGAAGCTCCGCTGATTCTGTTCCAGTAATGCCTACAAAATTTTTTATCTCTGAATTCAATTAGTCTTGAAAGAGAAACCTCTATGTTGGCAGGATTGTGGACGTTGTTTACTGGATCCTTGCCTGTGTTTGCCTGCTTTCCCGTTGTGATATTTCTGGTTGACGGTGACAGGAGTGACAGACAAAGCTAGGTTCTGATGCTAGCCTGGCACAGCTATTCCAGGCCTGAATGACTCATTAGCTTTGTGACTGCAATTATGTGAGGATTTTAACGCGAGTGCTCTCCATCGGCTCCGAAGATTAGCCAGGGGATCAGAACAGAAGGATTAGCCTCCTCCAGTTTACAGTAGCTGGAGTGAGTGCGTGTGTGATGAAAAATGAACTTGTACTTCATGTAAAAAGTTAAATTTTTAATTATGTAAATCTGATAGAAATGTTGTGGTTTTCAGTGAGGGTGTATGCATTAACATTAGTGAACGCAATAGCTAACACAAACTAAAAATGAACACACTCTGAGAAAAAAAGAACAATAGCTGTCACTAGGGTGGTACCCTATTAAAAGGTACATCTTTGTACCCTTATTTAGCCCTAAAGGGTGCGTATTATAGTATCTTAAATCTACATAGTAGTAGTGCCTAAAGTATACATATTAGCACCTAAAAGGTGCATGTTAGTTCCTTTTGAAAGGGTACTGCCCCAGTGACAGCTTTTGTACCATTTTCTTTTCTGAAAATGTACAGAATGTAATCATTTTGGAAGTAAACATTAAGTTAACATTGTGAGCAGACAATATGCATTGTTATATTTATAATATAAATATAATATAAATTTATATTTATATCTAAATCAGTCCTAGTGAAAAATAAATATATTAAGATATATTTGAAATACATTTATTTCATGCTAAGTATACTGTCACTAGGGTGGTACCCTATTAAAAGGTACATCTTTGTACCCTTATTTAGCCCTAAAGGGTGCGTATTATAGTATCTTAAATCTACATAGTAGTAGTGCCTAAAGTATACATATTAGCACCTAAAAGGTGCATGTTAGTTCCTTTTGAAAGGGTACTGCCCCAGTGACAGCTTTTGTACCATTTTCTTTTCTGAAAATGTACAGAATGTAATCATTTTGGAAGTAAACATTAAGTTAACATTGTGAGCAGACAATATGCATTGTTATATTTATAATATAAATATAATATACATTTTATCACCAGTCCTAGTGAAAAATAAATATATTAAGATATATTTGAAATACATTTATTTCATGCTAAGTATACGACAAATGCATTACCATACTTATGTACTTAATAAAAATACCCTGCAATTACTAAACTGGTAAACTTAAACTCTGCTAAATTGTAACAACTAATTTTGTACTTAATGCACTTTAATTGTGCGGAATTAGTGCTGAAGTTCAACTAAAGATATACTGAAGTATATTTGATTGTGCTAAAGGGGAACTATTGCAAGTATACTTTAGATACATTTTACATATCTTGTATTTAAAGACCGATATTATTCAAAGATCAAACAATTCTCATCAATAGTGACATTAAAGATTAAAATTTTTCCTTTCTCTTTGAAGTGATACAAGCTCTTGGTGCATAAAGAAGATCTGTAAAGTTGCAAAGACTAAAGTATCAAATCCAAATAGATATTCTTTATAAAAGTTAAGAGTCAACCACGCTTACCTAAAACGGCTCATTCTAACATGTCACATGTCTAGGTCACGATGTGAGAAGATTTGCATAACGCCGCCCAAATGTTCATGCAAAGAAAGAAGGCATAACTTTTATTCTCGCTGTAGAATTATTGCTGCCGCCATGTCGTGGACATGCTGTGTGTTTGGTTGTGAATGCGAAACTACTTTGTTTGGCCTTTCAAAAGAGGACAATATCCGCTTCTTCATGCCTAGAGCTGATCCGTGCTGGGCGCTGAGGAAATACATCAACTTCACGCTGTGGATCGCCGGATCGGCTTTCACCGTGGACAAAACAGAGTCCAGCCCGTGGTCGTCACATGTGGTTGCGGCAAGCCCACCGGCCGCTCCTTCGTCAAATCTGCCAGCCGCGCCGTTCTCTAGCCCGCCGGCCTCCGCTCACTCTAGCCCCCGGCCTCTGCTCACTCTAGCCCACCGTGTGTGACGCTGTTTCGTTGTGAAAGCGAAACTACTTTGTATGGCCTTCAAAAAGAGGACATGACTAGAAATCAGCGGTTAAGTTGTATTTACAACACTGTTCCAGAACAGTTCAACCCAAATATTCATATGTGCGCAGCACATTTTATGGAGGACTGTTTCCTGATCCTGGTAGAGTAGACTACAATGCCGGCTGTTCTGACTCACAGACTGTAAGTACGTTTTTTTATTTTAAAGAATTTGCCACTCACGATTCAAACGCGAGTTTTGAGCAGTATAGAGTAGCGCTTGTTGTTTGTCATTTCTCTGATCACAAATGCAGACATGGTTTTATGTTTACGCGGCGCGATGCAACGTGTAAAAAGACAGTATATGTCATTATAATCCGTAATTATGTCCCCACTGGATGCAACAAATGCCTCGTTTATAATGGGTTTTAATGTGTTTGTCTCGTCGCTTCGGCGGGACACGCCATCACAGTATGGTAAGGGGCGTAACATTTCTGTCACCTATTGTACATTAATTTAGGGATTCAGTGTGTAAATATTTATGATTACAATTTATTGTTAGATTGTAATTTGTATTTCATAATCAGTTATTTTAGTGTGATTTATTTTCTATTATAGTTTTTAATTAATATTTTGAATATACTTTTGTTTTTATATTTTTAGTTTCATTCAAGTTACATTTTTATGTGCTTTTGTAATTTTTTTGATAGCAGTATTTAGGTTTAATTTAGTTCTGTTTTAGTTTTAGATCAGTTTTAGTTATTATTTCTTTCCAGCTAATCATTTTAGTTGCCCAAAGAACACAACTTTTTACATGTTTTCAGAAACAGTGCTTAAATTATTAATCATTTTGAAGTTTTAAATTCTGATTGACTGATCTGCATGGCCTCTCGTGGCTTATTTCAGTTTTATTTTCTATTATTAGACAGTTTTAGAGATCAAGTAATAAGCTTTTTTGGCCTAATAATTCATGGAAGTGATAGCATGTAGCACAGACTTAAGGTTTAAAAAACATTTTTTAAAGATTTTTTTTTCTTACTAAAGTGTGTGTTTATAGATCACATTGACTTATGTATTATGAGATTAAATTAAACCACCAGAGATTTTAATGATCTTTACAGCAATTGTTTTGTTGTGATGTGAAAAACAAAGCAGTGAATTGTGGTTGTGCTGCTGCTCTCTTCAGATGTGCCTTGAATCTTGAGTTTCTTTACTTTACACAGTGATCTTTACTTTCAACTTAGCAAAGTTTGCACCCTGTTAGTTTTGCTGCAATGGAGATGGTGTAACAAATTGTAATGATGCTTGAGCTGAGGTGAAGGCAATATTATTAATGTCAGGGTAGAGTCATCATAGCTGGGCTTTTGGGAGATTTCGAAGGTCTTGCAGGGAAAGATGCTTTTCTCCTGACTGTCAGGCAAAGTGTGGCTGTGTGTGTGGGCATATCCATCTGTGGTCAACACCCCTAAGAACACTTGACCCCTCTGAATAGTTACAGGGTTGTTTTGATCTTTTGTGTGTCGTAGCCTTCGTCCCTTCGACTCAGTGAAGAGCAGCTCGCTGCATATAGATCCATATCTCTGCTGTAGTTTCAGCCACTTGAGCTCATGCTGAAGTGAAAGGTTAGGTTGTATCGATGTGCAACTTGTATTCAACCTTTATTCATTTTTTACATTTTACATTATGTGCAGAGGAAGACGTGGTGTTTAATGAAGTCATATTTTGATTTCATGTTGACTTTAAAACACCTTGAAAGAATATGTAATGTGCACTTTGATAGTGGTAGTGGACAGCAGTGAAAGACAGCAGCGTCCATAAGCTGAGTAATCCTCTATTTAGCATTATGTAACTCCTCACTAAAGGGGCGACAACAGACAGAACAGAATCACTTTGCCAGCGGGCCCTACTAACCTCAGTCCTGTTTTAATGAGTGTTATTAATACATATTTCATCCATGTTTCTGTCTCTGTGTTCTTTTCAGGATATGAATGATTTCTCCCCGGTCTTCAGACAGGCACTTTATAAAGGGATGGTGGCTCCAAATGCAGAGAAGGGAACAGTCATCACAACTGTGCTTGCAGAAGATCAAGACCCTCCGGTAAGTAGACAAAGCCCAAATGTAACACACTTCTGAGTTCTCGGACTCATTCTCAAATGATATTTTGTACTCCATGTTTATATGATTTAAAAAAAAAAAATAAAAGCACAGGGTTTTAGTGAGGATTTGTTATGGTAAGGTATTAAGAATATTTATGGATTAGTTAGAGTTAGATATTTGAAATATGTCTTAAATGAAATGCGGGGCCAGTACTGCATGTTCAAGGTCAAGTAACTGCTGTACAGCTTTGAGATGAACAATTGAATGCAATATTTTTTGGGGTCAGTACGATTTTTAAAAAAATAGTTCTATTGTTTAATTGATCAAAAGCGACAGTAACGCCATTTATAACGTTATAAAAGATTTTCAAGATTTCAAATAAATGCTCTTCTTTTGAACATCAAAGAATCCTATTAAGCAAAAGAACCATTTTCAACACTTATAATAATAAGAAATGTTTCTTGAGCATCAAATCAGCATATTGGAATGATTTCTGAAGGATCATGTGACATTGAAGTCTGGAGTAATGATGCTGAAAATTCAGCTTTGAATCACAGGAGTAAACATTATAAAATATAGTAAATATAAAATATATTCAAGTAAAAAAAGTTATTTTAAATTGTAATCATATTTAACAATATTACTGTTTTACTGTATGTTTGGTAAAAGAAATGCAGCTTTTGGTGAGCATAAGAGACTTCTTTCAAAAACGTTTAAAAAATCTAAATAAAAAAAGGAATACAATATATTTTAAAATATATTAGAAAACACAGAAAACAGTTATTTTAAATTGTAGTAATAGTTGTTATACACAAGAAGCGTTTTCAATTGGTTTTCAGAAATGGCATTTTCATTAGTGGGTGTTCAAATGAACAGCGATGTTAGTGGTGTTTTAATGTTTTGCTGTGTGGTTGCTACAGTTGTCACAGATTTATTAGCTTTAGGTGCTGCTGGTGATGATGGTACATTCAAAGGAACAGCAGGGGTGCTGGAACCACTTTTTAGCCCACGTCTTATTCAGTTGAACATTGAGTGATATTAAAATATGAGCCATAGTAATATCCCACACCCAGAGCAGTGGGTAGCCATTTTTACTGCAGCACCCACTGTTGGGGGTTCGGTGCCTTGCTCTAGGGTCTCACCTCAGTTGTGGTCAATATTACAGTTTTTACTGTATTTTTGACCAAATAAATGCAGCCGTGGTGGTCATAACGGACTTCTTTAAAAACCACACTGGCCCCAAAAATGTGTACGGTGTATACAATAATGAATGTTAAAAAAGGAAAATATGTATTAATAATTATTATTTATATTACATTTAATATTATTCTTATATTTTATTTATATTAAATTATAATCGTTTAATTTTTTTTATAAATGTGTATTATTTATATTAATTGTAATTAATTATTTTCTTAAATACTAAAGAATTAACAAAAAACGACTAAAAAAATTTAATAATTTTAAAAAAGTACATTTATTTAAAAGTTAAAAATAAAAAGTACCTATGTATGTTATAAATGTATGTTACATTTATATTTTATTGTAATGTAAAATCAAATTTGTTTACATCGACATGCTTTTTTAATGTATTCCAATGTAAGCACTAGCAAATCATAGCCCTTCCAAGGATAGGTGTTATGTATGACTAAAAGTTTGGCAGCATTAGCTTAAGGTTAGCTAGAGTTAAGACTAGTTAGTAGTAGTACATTCATTCATTTGAATGCATGATTTTATCCCTGGTCTCTTTTGAATTTCTTCATCTGAAGTTTGTATATACAGTAGTGTGTATTACTGCGTATGAGAGTTTAGTCTCCCGCGAGTTTTCCTGTTTATATGTCCCTCCATTAACATGTTAGTCTGCTGTTGTGGATAATTGGTTTGTTCTGCGCTGTCACTCTCTCTCTGCATCTTTATTTGATTGATCTGAATGAGCCGTTTTATGTTTTTTACCATCTGGAGACCAGCCTCTCTCTCTCTCACTCACTTTCGCTAGATGACGCTGAAATAAAATTACACGCAATGACACAGAAATTTTGACACCGTGGTGAATCTGGAAATGATGTTTTGTGCTTTCATCAGAGAGTGGAAATATTTATTGGGCTTTAGAATGCAGCCCAGCATGCTTCTGCAACTTTTACAGCTGGAGGGAAACGCAAGGCAAAGACACACATCTCTTATTACCTTATAAATTACATACACAAGGTTATTTGCTGCCTGAGGTTTGGTTTATCCAGAGTGGCAGCGCAAGCCAGGGGCTGGATATGCTCTGAATGCCTGTAAATGTTTATCATCCACAGACTGTAAAACAGAAAGATGTTTTGTGGGTTTCTAGGTCTCCATATGCAGTGTGGATGTGTTGTTAACAGACTTTATTGGTTGTCAGTAACTCTGGACCACAGTCACAAAAGTTTCAAAGACGCCTGAATGTAGTTAGTGTTTAAAAGTAGTTTTAATGCATGTTAATTTGTCTTTTACAACGACCAAACTTCACAAACAGCTTGTCAGCCTCCATTTTTTTCTGCCATGGCCAATTTTGTTCCCGTCACTTTCCTCTAAGGGAAACAAAGCTCGCAGCAGGGGTTTGTTATACACAAGAAGCGTTTTCAATTGGTTTTCAGAAATGGCATTTTCATTAGTGGGTGTTAAAATGAACAGCGATGTTAGTGGTGTTTTAATGTTTTGCTGTGTGGTTGCTACAGTTGTCACAGATTTATTAGCTTTAGGTGCTGCTGGTGATGATGGTACATTCAAAGGAACAGCAGGGGTGCTGGAACCACTTTTTAGCCCACGTCTTATTCAGTTGAACATTGAGTGATATTAAAATATGAGCCATAGTAATATCCCACACCCAGAGCAGTGGGTAGCCATTTTTACTGCAGCACCCACTGTTGGGGGTTCGGTGCCTTGCTCTAGGGTCTCACCTCAGTTGTGGTATTGAGGGTGGAAGAGAGCGCTGGTCATTTACTCCCCGCACCTGCAATCCCTGCTGGTACCCAGACTCGAACCTGCCACTTTTGGGCTACAAGTCAGACTCTCTAACCATTTGACCACAACTGCACCATATTAAAATATGGCCTTCAATGGGTTAATAAAATTGCATATATTGCACAAATAAATGGCTTATATATCCACTACTGTTCAGGAAATCAGGTCGGTAAGATTTTTCAAATGTTTTTGAAAGAACTTTGATTCTTCGATGTCTCTTATGCTCACTAAGGCTGCATTTATTTGCTCAAATGATAATATAAATAAATCAATAATAATAATATCAATTATCAATATTATTTACATTTTAGAATTTAAAATAAATTTAATTTTAATATATATATATATATATATATATATATATATATATATATATATATGTGTGTGTGTGTGTTTAGATAT